GGCGTCGAAGGACTCGTCCGGGAGGGGGAGCGCGGCGGCGTCGCCCTCGAGGAGCGTCACCACCCCGCTCGGGTGCGCCTCGGCCACCGCCCGGGCCTGCTCGAGCATCGCCGCGGAGAAGTCGACCGCCACCACCTCGGAGGCTCCTCGTGCCGCGGCGCCGTCGGCGACCACGCCGGTGCCGGTGGCGACGTCGAGGATGCGCATGCCGCCCTGCGGCGTGACGGGACACGTGATGGAGAGATTGGGCGGAGAGGCGGGGCGAGGGGCGAGGCGAGAGGAGGAGGCGGCGGCCCAGCGCACTTCGCGAGAGACCTCCATCGTCGCGGCGGCGCGGCGCGAGCCGAGGTCGGCGATGCTCTCGCGAGCGGCCATCGCGACACTCATGGCCTTGGTCGTTTCCACGCCCGCCGCGTCGAGGAGGGCGTTGGTCGTCTGGGCAGTGACCTTTGCGAACGAGTCGCGGTACGCGCCGGCGCCCGCCTCCCACATGCGGTGCTCGAGTGCCGAGAACGGGTCGACCGCATGGTCAGGCATGGTGGCGAGCTGGCGACACTGTGTTTGGTCGCGGGCACGGACGCGGGCCGCGCCGAGGAGGCGGGTGCTTCGGGCAGCGCGGAGCATGAATCGCTGTGCACGGCGAGAGCGGGGGGGTGGGGTCTCGGCGGGCGCCCTCCGACCCTTCCCCCCAAACCGCCGGTTGCTTGGTTCTTGTTGGAGAGTGTGAACTCAAACCTACTTCCTGACCGTAGCCTGACCGTCCTTGTGTAACCGTGTCTCATGTTTGGTTTGTCCTGCCGCGCACATTGTCATGCTGTTGGGTTTCTCCTGCCGCGCACATTGTCATCGACTTGTATCCGACTTGGTGGTTGTGGTGATGTAGCGATGGTGTGGGTCTCTAGTGACCTATACAGCTCCTCCGTGTTCCGTCTCCTGACATGGTACCGACCGGTGAGTGCACGGAGTGAGCAGTGCGGCACTGAGGCCGACACGAGAGCTGGTGCGGCACACAAGCGAGATGTGTTGCCGCACAGCATTTCCGGCTTACGCTCGATACGTTGGCTGGCACCATGGGCACCTGCGCGAGCCGTGGTGATTGGCTGGGCACAGAGGCTCGGCGCACGGTGGCACAGCGGCCGCCAACTGCTTGGCTCGGAGGCTGAGCAGAATGAGAACAACCGCAACATCAACTTGTGTGCTTGCGGATCTTCTGCGACAGAGCGCATCTCCGCCAGCACTGCGGCTGTGTGGACACGAGTATCCCCTCTTTCTTCTATCTTCTCCTTACCGGTCCGTTCTCCTCGCCTACGGACCACCATCGCAGCTGCTGTCTCCGCTACCAGCTCTCGGGCTGCTGCAACGGCAGTTGCCGCAAAGATCTCGCACCGAATGTGGACCCTGCCTTTCGCCGCCGCTACTTCCGACGTCGCCGCTCGACACGACTGGAGCTGTACGCGATGAACACGCGACGATCGACACGCCCTCTCTGCCTTGTGTGGCGATTACCACGTCGTGGGGGAGTGTTGGGCATCTGTTCGACGTGGCAATGCCACTCTACCTCATTGCTGTCTCTTCCTCGTCTCGCCTCCTCGCGCTAGCCCGTCCCGCTGTCGAACGCCTCTGGCAAGAAGTCCAATGCGCCTCTACGAGCGTCTCTGCCGTCTGGACGCCTGAGTCTGAGCCTGCCATCTCCGACGAGCTCTCCTTCACCGTCCTCGGCGGCCCGTGGCGCAACATCAACGTTCGGGACATTGAAGATCGTCCTCACGTTCCTGATGCGCTCATCAACGTCAACGCGGCGAGGCCTCCCAACGGCCCAGTCGCCGCGCAGCAACGGGGCGCCCCCGCTGCCGCTCCCGCGCCCGCCGCTCCCGCCGCGCCCGCTCAAGCCGCCGCCCCGCGACGCTCAGCCCGGATTGCAGCTCGCGGCGCGCCATGACCGAGCTCCACAACGAGCTCTTGTTCATTATCTCCCCTTTCTCTCTCTCCGCCCACTCGGCCGCGCTTTGACCCCTTCACTGGATCATCTTAGCGCGCAAGTCTTGCCAACAAGCAAGACCATCCTTCGCGAAGACGCAAGGTTGGACGCTTAGCCAGCCCCGCGAGACGCCGGCGGGTAACCGGCATACCTACGCTCAGACACATTCACACTCTGCTGTTGTTGTCTGCCGCATCCTCATTCATGAAGACTGCGGAGACAATGGGGGAGTGTTGGAGAGTGTGAACTCAAACCCTGAGGGAGGGTGTAGAGGATGTAGAGTGTAGAGCGCTGTAGAGCTGTAGAGATGTAGAGCGCTCTGGAGCGCTGTAGAGCTGTAGAGCTCTACATCGGCTGCGTGACGAGGCGGGTGCGTTGTAGAGCGATGTAGAGCGCGATTTTGCTGTAGAGTTTGTTGTAGAGGCTCTACAGCCAAACCGCCGGGAAGGCAGTGACTCAAAGAGGTCGAGTCGCACTAATGGGGTGTCTCCGAGCTTACTGGAGCTCTGATGGACGGCCCTGACTATCACTGACACACAGAGACGGTCACTCTGACGGCACACAACACCCTATAACTGCGTCATGACCAGCCTGCCATGCGTCGCCGGTGCCGCATTCGTCGCTGTGCTTCTTTAGCAGGCGGTGGACTATCGGCTGCGAGGACGGTCGCATTTGCGCGAGGCGAGGCGAGCATTCAGACGCGTTGCATGCGCCATGACTCGCGCCAGCGCGTGCGGGAGCTCCTGGCTGAGCGTTGAGTCCAGGCGAGTTGCGCTGGCCACGATCGCTACGCCAAGCCGAGCTGACGCGCCGAGGCGCCGGCCAGTCGCAGCCGTGAGGCATGCCACAGCAGCAGAGGCATCTGCCACCCATTGGGCGGGCAGACAGAAGGCCAGGGCAGCACTGGCAAGTGCAACGCGCCTCATGTCGGAGAGCGACCGTGCCTCGTTCGCCGCTTATGATGCAGTGCTCGTTCAGTAGATAATTTCA